AGCTGCTCAGGAGGCTGAGGCAGGAGAATCCCTTGAACCAGGAAGCAGACTCTGCAGTGAGCCGAGATCTCACCACTGCACTCCAGCCTGGTGACAGAGCGAGACTCCGTCTCAAACTAAATAAATAAATAACAAGAATCACTTGAACCCAGGAGGTGGAGGTTGCAGTGAGCCGAGATCTCACCACTGCACTCCAGCCTGGTGACAGAGCGAGACTCCGTCTCAAACTAAATAAATAAATAACAAGAATCACTTGAACCCAGGAGGCGGAGGTTGCAGTGAGCCGAGATCACACCACTGCACTCCAGCCTGGTGACAGAGCGAGACTCCGTCTCAAACTAAATAAATAAATAACAAGAATCACTTGAACCCAGGAGGTGGAGGTTGCAGTGAGCTGAGATCTCACCACTGCACTCCAGCCTGGGTGACAGAGCAAGACTCTATCTCAAAAAAAAGAAAAATAAAGATGCAAGCTAATCTGCCCCCCTCCCCTGCCCCTCAGGCCTCCTAAGCCACCACCATGCCGTTCGGAAACACCCACAACAAGTACAAGCTGAATTACAAGCCTGAGGAGGAGTATCCCGACCTCAGCAAGCACAACAACCACATGGCCAAGGTGCTGACCCCTGAGCTCTACAAGAAGCTGCGGGACAAGGAGACCCCATCTGGCTTCACCCTAGACGATGTCATCCAGACAGGCGTGGACAACCCAGGTGAGCCTCCCCAGCAGAGCACAGAAAGGGCTACATGGGTGTTCCGGAGGCTGCCGGCCAGGCCCCACTCCCACTGCCCCTGAGTGGGGGCCTCAGTTTTCTCATCTGTAAAATGGGGCTGTTGTGAGAATCAGTGCATTAATATATGTAAAGGGAGTCCAGGCACGGTGGCTCACACCTGTAATCCCAGCATTTTGGGAGGCCGAGGCGGGTGGATCACAAGGGTAGGAGTTCAAGGCCAGCCCGAACAATGTGGTGAAACCCCATCTCTACTGAAAATACAAAAACAATTAGGCAGGCATGGTGGCATGCAACTGTAATCCCAGCTACTCATGAGGCTGAGGCAGGAGAATCGCTTGAACCCGGGAGGCAGAGATTGCAGTGAGCTGAGATTGCGCCACTGCGCTCCAGCCTGGTGACAGAACAGAGCAAGACTGTGTCTCAAAAAAAAAAAAAAAAAAAAAAAGGCTTGGGACAGTGTGGAATAGACAGCAAACCATGCAATAAACATGCATGAGAATCACGTGAGACCCCCGAGGAGATTGGTTCATCTCCCCAACCTCAGTCTCCTCATCTGAGAAATGGGCACCCACGTTGTGAAAACACAGGGCAATGCCTGTGCAGTGCTGAGAGTGGCATCTGGTGCTAAGTGAGTGCTGGAGTCCTGACAGCTGCGCCGGAGGCAGTGGCTTGTGCCAGTAATCCCAGCACTTTGGAAGGCCCGGGTAGGAGGATCACTTGAGGCCAGGAGTTTGAGGCCAGTCGGGCAACATAGCAAGACCCTGTCTCTACTAAAAATACAAAAAATTGGGCCAGGCTCGGTGGCTCATGCCTGTAATCCCAGCACTTTGGGAGGCCAAGGCAGGTGGATCATGAGGTCTGAAATTCAAGGCCAACATAGTGAAACACTGTCTCTACTAAAAATACAAAAAAAAAACCACAAAAATTACCTGGGCATGGTAGCAGGTGCCTGTAATCCCAGCTACTTGGGAGGCTGAGGCAGGAGGATCGCTTGAAGCTGGGAGGCAGAGGTTGCAGTGAGCAGAGATTGCACCATTGCATCCAGCCTGGGCTACAAGAGTCAAACTCCGCCTCAAAAAAAAAAAATTAGACAGGCATGACATGGGCTTGTAGTCCAAGCTACACAGGAGGCTGCGGTGGGAGGTTGGCTTGAGCCTGGGGGGCGCGGGTTGCAGTGAGATCCCGTCACTGTACTCCAGCCACAGACTGAGACCCTGCCTCAAAAAAAACCAAAATCTGACAGGGGATGTTATTAATGTTAGGGTTGTTTCTCAAAGGACACCTGCAGAGGCGAGGAGAGCTGGGAGTGGAGGGGAGGTTCTAGTGCCCCTCACATCCAGCTCGCTGTGTGATGGAGGGGAGAGGCCCCTCTCTCCTGGACTCTGTTTTTCCATTTGGGAAATAAGAGGGTCTTTCAAGTCTCTTACCCTCCTGGCCCTCTGTGGCAGCTGGTAGTCTGAGAACCTAACAGCATTTCAGGCTGATATGTCTTGACTTTGGGTGCTAATGTTTTCAAGGTGCTGATGTCTTTAGCACCATGTACCCTCCGAAGGTCCGCCTTCCCCTTTGGCCTTGCCCTGGATTCATTCTCTTCTCCCTCCTTGACCTCTCCCAGTCTTCCCTCCTGGTTCCCACCAAACCTCAGTCTTCTCTCTCTTTTTTTTGAGATTGAGTCTCACTCTGTCACCCAGGCTGGAGTACAGTAGCTCGATCTCAGCTCACTGCAACCTCTACCCACTTGGTTCAAGCAATTTTTGTGCCTCAGCCTCCTGAGTAGCTAGCTGGGATGACAGGCATTCTCCCCACACCCAGCTACTTTTTGTATTTTTAGTAGAGATGGGGTTTCATCCTCTTAGCCAGGCTGGTCTCAAACTCCTGACCTCAAGAGATCCCCCTACCTCAGCCTCTCAAAGTGCTGGGATTGCAGGCGTGAGCCACCACTCCCAACCCTTAGTTTCCTCAATTCCTACCCAGAGGTACTGAATGCACCCCACTCTCGCTACCCCGACACACACATGTGCACACAGTCTCCACTGAGCCCACGAGCCCAGGTCCCACTTGCTGGGGACAAGCCCCTCTGACCGCACCCCACCCCTCCAGGTCACCCCTTCATCATGACCGTGGGCTGCGTGGCCGGGGACGAGGAGTCCTACGAAGTGTTCAAGGACCTCTTTGACCCCATCATCTCCGATCGCCACGGGGGCTACAAACCCACGGACAAGCACAAGACTGACCTCAACCACGAGAACCTCAAGGTCAGTGTATGCATGGGAGGGGAGGGCCCGGGGTGGGGAGGAAAGGTATCACAGGCGAGATGGGGGAAGAAAGACATGCAGAGATGGAGAGAGATGCAGAGGTGGACACAGATGTGGAGAAGCAGAGAGATGGAAAGAGAGAGGGACGCTGGGAGGTCGAGCCAGGCGGATCACTTTGGTCGAGGTGAGGTCAGGAGTTCAAGACCAGCCTGGCCAACATGGCAAAACCCTGTCTCTAATAAAAAAGTACAAAAGGCCAGGTGTGTTGGCTCACGCCTGTAATTCCAGCACTTTGGGAGGCTGAGGCGGGCAGATCACAAGATCAGGAGTTTGAGACCAGCCTGACCAACATAGTAAAACTCTGTTTCTACCAAAAATACAAAAAGTAGCCAGGCGTGGTGGCATGCACCTGTAATCCCAGATACTCAGAAGGCTGAGGCAGGAGAATTGCTTGAATCCAGGAGGTGGGGGTTGCAGTGAGCTGAGATCACACCACTGCACTCCAGCCTGGGCAACAGAGTGAGACTTGGTCTCAAAGAAATAAAATAAAATAAATTAATTAAGTGGGCATGGTGGCATAAGCCTGTAATCCCAGTTACTCAGGAGGTGGAGGCAGGAGAATTGCTTGAACCCAGGAGACAGAGGCTGCAGTGAGCCGAGATTGTGCCACTGCACTCAGCCTGGGGGACAGAGCAACACTCTATCTCAGAAAAAAAAAAAAGGAAAGAGAGAGGGACAGAGAGATACAGAGACAGCCAAGGAGACAGAGAGACGCAGGAAAGGGAGAGGGAGAAGAAAGGAAGAAAAGCATGTAGAAAAGGGAGAGGCATGCTGGGCGCAAGAGAGGCCGAGGTTGGCGGATCACGAGGTCAGGGGTTCAAGACCCAGCCTGACCAACATGGTGAAACCCTGTCTCTACTAAAAATACAAGAATTAGCCGGGCATGGTGGTGTGTACCTGTAATCCCAGCTATTTGGGAGGCTGAGGCAGGGGACTTGCTTGAGCCCAGGAGTTTGAGGTTGCAGTGAGCTATGATGGCACCACTGCATTCCAGTCTGGGCAACACAGAGAGACTCTGTCTCAGAAACAAACAAAAAAAAAAAAAAAGAAGAAGAGGAAGGAAAGGAAATATGCAGGCCGTTCAAGGTGGCCCATGCCTGTAATCCCAGCACTCTGGGAGGCCAAGACAGGCAGATCACTTGAGGTTGGGAGTTCAAAACCAGCCTGACCAACATGGGGAAACCCCATCTCTACTAAAAATACAAACTTCGTCAGGCGTGGTAGCGCATGCTTGTAATCCCAGCTACTCGGGAGGCTGAGGCAGGAGACTCGCTTGAACCTGGGGGACGGAAATTACTGTGAGCCAAGATCGCACCATTACACTCCAGCCTGGATGACAGAGCGAGACTCTATCTAAACCACCTCCCCCCCACAAAAACAAACAAACAAACAAAAAAGAAATATACAAAGATGGGGGGAGAGAGAGGCATAGAGAAAAACAGAGCTACCAGATGGGAGACAGAGAAGGGAGAGACAGAGCTCAGGTGTGTGTGGCGGGGAGAGGCTCTGCACACCCCTAAAGTGAGGACGCAGCGGGCAAAGGAAGCTACAGAGAGACGGGGGGAGCATCTGGGGAGACGTGGGCTTGCTGGAGGGCGTGGCTGGGGCAGGGCTCTGTCCTGATCTCCTACCCGCTCTCCAGGGTGGGGACGACCTGGACCCCAACTACGTGCTCAGCAGCCGCGTGCGCACCGGCCGCAGCATCAAGGGCTACACGCTGCCCCCGCACTGCTCCCGCGGCGAGCGCCGGGCTGTGGAGAAGCTCTCCGTGGAAGGTGAGCGCCCCTACACCCCCCACCCCACCCCTCCGTCCACCGCTGGCGTCACCCAGCCCTGGCTCTCTTCCTCCATAGGCAGGTCCCCGGGCCTCTTGGGCACCCATTTTCTAAAGCAGGGGAGGAGCTTGGTAAATCGCGGGGGCTTGGGGAGTGGTGCGGGTTGTCAGCATTACCTGCTGTGTTGGAGATCGGGGGCGCTGTCCAAACTCAACACCTGAGAAGACTCACGCAGGCACCTGGCTGCCTCAGCGTCCTGCCATCTGTTCATGCGGCACACATTTCCAGGGGTTCTTGCCCTGTGTGGGGAAATGGGGGTCCCTCACTATTCTCATAGAGCATTCAGCTGGTGGGGAGACGAGAGGAAATTCAGAAACCCACAGATGAACAAGATAATTCCAAAGTGCCATAAAGCGAAGAAATGATGGAGGCAGCCACCTCAGAAAGGAGGCATTGAGGCCGGGCGCAGTGGCTCACAACTGTAATCACAGCAGTGTGGGAGGCCTAGGAGGGAGGATCGCTTGAGCCCAGGAGTTCAAGACCAGACTGGGCAACAGAGCAAGACCCCATCTCTACAAAAAATACAAAAATCAGCTGGGAGTGGTGGCGCGCACTTCTCATCCCAGCTACTCAGGAGATAGGTGGGAGGATGGCTTGAGTCCAGGAGGTTGAGGTTGCAGTGAATCGTGATTGCACCACTGCACTCCAGCCTGGGTGACAGAGCGAGACCCTGCCTCAAAAACAAAAAGAGGCCAGGTGCAATGACGCATGCCTGCAATCCCAGCACTTTGGGAGGCCAAGGCAGGTAGATTACCTGAGGTCAGGAGTTCGAAACCAGCTTGGCCTACATGGTGAAACCCCATCTCTACTGCAAATACAAAAATTACACAGGTGTGGCGGCACATGCCTGTAACCCCAGCTACTTGGGAGGTTGAGGCAGGAGAATCACTTGAACCCGGGAGGCAGAGGTTGCAGTGAGCTGAGATTGTGCCACTGCACTCCAGCCTGGGCAACAAGACTGAGACTTCATCTTAAAAAAAAAAAGTTTACCGTATACTGTAGACTTAAGTGCACAACAACATTATGTCTAAAAAAAAGTGTACACCGGCCAGGTGCAGTGGCTCACGCCTGTAATCCCAGCACTTTGGGAGGCCGAGGCGGGTGGATCACGAGGTCCAGAGATCAAGACCATCCTGGCCAGCACAGCGAAACCCTGTCTGTACTAAAATACAAAAAATTAGCCAGGTGTGGTGTCGAGTGCCTGTAATCCCAGCATTCAGGAGGCTGAGGCAGGGGAATCGCTTGAACCTGGGAGGCAGAGGTTGCAGTGAGCTGAGATCACGCCACTGCACTCCAGCCTGGTGACAGAGTATGATTCTGTCTCAAAAAAAAAAAAAAGTACATACCTTAATTTTTAAATGCTGCTAAAAATGCTATGATCACCGGAGCACTCAGCAAGTTGCAATCTTTTGTTGCAGAGGCCCTACCTTGATGCTGATGGGCCGCTGACTCATCAGGGTGGTTGTTCAAGCTCGAGATGGCTGTTCAATTCCTTCCTTCTTTCTTTTCTTTTCTTGTTCTGTTGCCCAGTCTGGAATGCAGTGGTGTGATCATGACTTACAATAACCTCCAACTCCTGGGCTTCAGTGATCCTCCCATGTTGGCCTCCCAAAGTGCTGGCCTTACAGGCGATAGCCACAGCACCTGGCCAGCAGTAATATTTTGAAAAGAATCTCTTTTCAGTGTGAACTTCCCAGAAAAAAAGAAAAGAAAAGAATCTCTTTTTTGAGACAGAGTGGCAGTCTGTCTCCCAGGCTGGAGTGCAGTGGTGGAATCCTGGCTTACTGTCACCTCCGCCTCCTGATTCAAGCAATTCTCATGTCTCAGCCACCCGAGTAGCTGAGACCAAGGGTGTGTGCCACCACGCCCGGCTGATTTTGTATTTGTGTTTTTAAATTTTTTTTGAGATGCAGTCTTGCTCTGTCGCCCAGACTGGAGTGCAATGGCATGATCTCGGCTCACTGCAACCTCTACCTCCTGGGTTCAAGTGATTCTCCTGCCTCAGCCTCCTGAGTAGCTGGGATTATAGACACCCGCCACCATGTCCTGATAATTTTTATATTTTTAGTAGAGATGGGTTTTCACCATATTGGCCAGGTTGGTCTCAAGCTGCTGGTGTCAGGTGATCTGCCTGCCTCGGCCTCCCAAAGTGCTGCGATTACAGGCATAAGCCACTACACCTGGCCTGTTAAGCTTTTGATTGAAATCTTGACTCTTCCTTTCATTTGAACACCTCGAGGCCATTATAGGGTTGATTGAATTGGCCTGATTTCAAAATCGTGTGTTTCAGGGAATATGGAGGCTCAAGGGGATGGGGAGAGAGGAGGGAACGGCCGGTCAGTGGCGCAGTCAGGGCACACACGACATTTATCCATTAAGTTCACCCTTTTATATGGGCAAGGTTGGTGACACCCCCCAAAGTGAAAACAGTCACATCAGAGATCACTCATCACAGATATAATAATCATGAAAAAGTCTGCAGTCCTGTGAGAATTACTCACATGTGACACAGACACACACACTGGCAAAAATGGCTCCAATAGCCCTCCCGGACAAAGGGCTGCCACAAACCTTCAATCTGTAAAAGACACAATATCTGGCAGGGTGCGGTGGCTCATGCCTGTAATCCCAGCACTTTGGGAGGCTGAGGGGGCCAGATCACGAGGTCAGGAGATCAAGGCTATCCTGGCCAACATGGTGAAACCCCCGTCTCTACTAAAAAGGCAAAAATTAGCCAGGCATGGTGGTGTGTGTCTGTAATCCCAGCTACTCGGGAGGCTGAGTCAGGAGAATCACTTGAATCAAGGATTCAGAGGTTGCAGTGAGCTGAGATGGCACCACTACACTCCAGCCCGGGTGACAGTGAGACGCCGTCTCAAAAAACAAGACACATCGAGAAAGGTTTTTAAGATGGCCGATCGATAACAGCTCAGGATTGCAGCTCTCAGTCAAAGCGCAGAGAACTAGAGGATGCCACACTTTCAGACAAATTCTGGTCGCTCACGGAGCAGAAGATCCCCAGTGGAGGAACCACACGGGTCCCCAGCACGACTCCTGAGACCAGCGCAGCGGCTGTGAGGGCACCTTGGTGCGGCAGCTCTCGGCACAGAGTAAACGAGACTGGTTCCCCTTCTGACCAAGGTTTGGAGCCAGGGGAAGGCAGAGTCGCCTATTATGGACACAAGACGGAAGCCAGACAGGAGAATCCTGGGCAGAAAAGCACCATCAGTCTTAACGCTGCCGTTCTGGCCCTGGGAACTAACAACTTGGACGTCCACTCAAGAGACCTAATCTGAAAGTTGGTAATTTCAAAGACGACAGGAGGATAAATTTACAATGATGGGAAGAAACCAGCGTAAAAAGGCTGAGAATACTCAAAGTCAGAACGCCTCTCCCTCTAAAGATGATCACAGTTCCACATCAACAATGGAACAAGGCTTGATGGAGAACGAGCACATCCCAATGACAGAATCACTCTTCAAGGAATGGATAATAAGAAACTTCTGTGAGTTAAAAGAACATGTAGCCCAACGTAAAGAAACTAGGAACTTTGAAAAAAGATTTGACGAAATCCTATTGAGAATAGACAACTTAGAGAGGAATATAAGTGAATTAATGGAACTAAAGAATACAGTACCCGAACTCCGAGAAGTATGCACAGGTTTAAACACTCGAATTGTTCAAGCAGAAGAAAGGATATCAGAGGTCAAAGTCCAACTTAATGAAATAAAACAAGAAGATAAGATTAGAGATAAAAGGATAAAAAGGAATGAGCAAAGTCTCCAAGAAATGTGGGACCATGTGAAAAGACCAAATTTACGTTTGATAGGTGTACCTGAATGTGACAGAGAGAATGAATCCAAGCTGGAAAATACCCTTCAGGATATTATTCAGGAAAATTTTCCTAAACTAGCAAAGCAGGTCAATATTCAACCCCAGGTAATACAGAGAACACCACAAAGATATTCCTCAAGAAGAGCAACGATATGTGCCCCAAGGCACATAATCGTTAGATTCACCAGGGTTGAAACGAAGGAGAAAATACTAAGGGCAGCCAGAGAGAAAGGTCAGGTTACCCACAAAGGCAAGCCTATCAGACTTACAGCAGATCTCTCAGCAGAAACCCTACAAGCCAGAAGAGAGTAGGGGCCAATATTCAACATCCTCAAAGAACAGAACCTTCAGCCCAGAATTTCATATCCAGCCAAACTAAGCTTCACAACTGAAGGAAAAATAAAATCTTTTATGAACAAGCAAGAACTCAGAGATCTTATTACCACCAGGCCTGCTTTACAAGAGCTTCTGAAAGAGGCATTACACACAGAAAGAAACAACCAGTATTAGCCTTACTAAAAATATACCAAAAAGTAAAGAGCACCAACATAAAGAAGAATTTTCATCAACGAATGGATAAAACAGCCAGTCAACATCAAATGGCAGTAACCCTAAATTTAAATTGACTAAATCCCCCAATCAAAAGACAGTCAAAATCTAACGGCATGTTACATCCAGACCTGTTTCACATGCAAGGATACACAAAGACCCAAAACAAAGGAATGGAGAAAGATTTACCAACCAAATGGAGAGCAAAAATAAATAAATAAATAAATAAATAAATAAAAAGCAGGAGTTGCAATTCTCATAGCGGATAAAATAGATTTTAAAGCAACAAAGATATAGTGGTAAAAGGATCAATGCAACAACAAGAGCTAACGATCCTAACACCCAGATACATAGAGACTAAGACTCAATGAGACAGAAAATTAATAAGGATATCAAGGACTCGAACTCAGATCTGGAACAAGTAAACTTAATAAATATTTATAGAGCTCTCCACTTCAAATACACAAAATATACATTCTTGTCAATACCACATCACACCTACTCACAAGTTTAAATGAAACATTCATTGGCCATTATTAATACCCATTTTTTTTTCAGAATCAAGCAATATTTCCATTCACCCTCCCTCTTTCTCTTCCTCTTTCTTTCTTTCCTTTACTCATTTTTTTTTCTTTCCTTCTCTCAAAAAAAGAAATCAACTTGTAAACCTCTAGATCTAGGTCGGCAATGTCTCTCTCATTGCTTGAATTCCTTCCTTCCCTTCCCTCCCTCCCTCCCCCACTTCCTCCCTTCCTTCCTTCATCCCTTCCTTCCTCCCTCCCTTCCTCCTTCCCTCCCTTCCTGCCTTCCTTCCTTCCTCCTTCCCTCCCTTAAAAAAAAAAAAAAAAGACACAATATCTGCAAAATGCAATAAAATGAGGGGTATGCCTGTATATTATATGAATATGTATAAAATATATAAATACTATAGATTTATTACACATGCACAAATATATTCATTATATGCATATTTTATACATATGAATATATACAAATAAACACACAATTTTTTTTTTTTTGAGATGGAGTTTCGCTCTTGTTACCCAGGCTGGAGTGCAATGGCGCGATCTCGGCTCACCGCAACCTCCGCCTCCTGGGTTCAGGCAATTCTCCTGCCTCAACCTCCTGAGTAGCTGGGATCACAGGCACACGCCACCATGCCCAGCTAATTTTTTGTATTTTTAGTAGAGACGGGGTTTCACCATGTTGACCAGGATGGTCTTGATCTCTTGACCTTGTGATCCACCCACCTCAGCCTCCCAAAGTGCTCGGATTACAGGCTTGAGCCACCGCGCCTGGCAATTTTTTTTTTTAGACAGAGTCTTGCTCTATCACCCAGGCTGGAGTGCAGTGGTGAAATCTCAGCTCACTGCAACCTTCACCTCTTGGGTTCAAGTGTGATTCTTGTGCCTCAGCCTCCTGAGTAGCTGGGATTACAAGAACATGCCATCACGCCCGCTAATTTTTGTATTTTTAGTGGAGATGGGGTTTCATCACGTTGGCCAGGCTGGTCTTGAAATCCTGACCTCAAGTGATCCTCCTGCCTTGGCCTCTCAAAGTGCTGGGATTATAGGCATGAGCCACTGTGCCTGGCCTACAGTTTTTTATTTTTTGAGATGGAGTCTCACTCTGTCACCAGACTAGAGTGCAGTGGTGTGACCTTGGCTCACTGCAGCCTCCACCTCCCAGGTTCAAGGGATTCTCCTGCCTCAGCCTCTTGAGTAGCTGGGACTACAGGCACTCACCGCCACACCCAGCTAATTTTTTTCTTTTTTCTATTTTTAGTAGAGACAGGGTTTCACCATGTTGGCCAGGCTGGTCTTGAACTCCTGACCTCAAGTGATCTGTTCGCCTTGGCTTCCCAAAGTGCTGGGATTACAGGCGTGAGCCACTGTGCCTGGCCTACAATTTTTTTTTTTAAGATGGGGGTCTCGCTATGTTACCCAGGCTGGATTCGAACTCCTGGGCTCAAGCGATCCTCCTGCCTCAGCCGCCCCAGTGGCTGTGACTACAGGCTCGTGCTGCTGCACCTGGCTACCATTCTATTTTATAATAATTTTTACTAATGGCCCCTCAAAGTCTTGAGACTTCAGCCATCTTCTTCCCAGCCATTAAGACCAGGCACCAGCACACTGTGGCCTGCAAGTGGACTAGATGTGGGGTCCCCAGGGGAAAGGGGCGGGTCTATTTTCTGGCTTGAGCACATGGTGTGGCTGGCTGTTCCTGGGCAGGCAGGGGAAACAGATTTTGGGGAGCCATCATGAGCATGGGTTTAGACACAGGGTTCAGGTGCCTTTAGGATGTCCAGGGGGCCAAGGTCCAGGCCCATTAGGAGCAGCAGCATGGGGGACCCTGGGCCTCCATGCCCTACCTGAAATGGGACAGGCTGCTGACCACCATCTCATGTGTCCCCATAGCTCTCAACAGCCTGACGGGCGAGTTCAAGGGCAAGTACTACCCGCTGAAGAGCATGACGGAGCAGGAACAGCAGCAGCTCATTGATGACCACTTCCTGTTCGACAAGCCTGTGTCCCCGCTGCTGCTGGCCTCTGGCATGGCCCGTGACTGGCCCGATGCCCGTGGCATCTGGTGAGACCCCTCCCACACCCTGGCTTCCTCTTCCCCCAGACTCCTCCAGTCCCCCAACCGCCCTCCTCACTCCTCCACCAAAGGCAAGGCCATCTTACATGACTGTGATCTTCCGAAAGCCATGGAAAATGATCTTGCCCTCCACCCCTGCCTATCCTGTGGTCTGTGTGTCAGAATTTGGGAAACCTGGACCGGAGAAATGGTAGTTAAGAACTTAGACTTGGCCAGCATGGTGGCTCATGCCTGCAATCCCTGCGCTTTGGGAGGCTGAGGCAGGCGGATCACTTCAGGTCAGGAGTCTGAGACTAGCCTGGCCAACATGGTGAAACCCCATCTCTACTAAAAATTAAAAAAATTAGCTGGGCATGGTGGCAGGTGCCTGTGAACCCAGCTACTTGGGAGGCTGTGGCAGGAGAATCGCTTGAACTCAGGAGGTGGAGGTTGCAATGAGCTGAGATCATGCCATTGCACTCCAGCCTGGCCTAAAAAACAACAACAACAACAAAAAAAAAACACAAAAATAACCTTAAACTTGACTGGACACAGCGGCTCACGCTTTGCCTGTAATCCCAGCACTTTGGGAGGCTTCGGCAGGAGGATTGCTCATGCCCAGGAATTCTAGACCAGCCTGGGCAACATAGGGAGATCACATCTCTACAAAACTTAAAAAAAAAAAAAAAAAAGGCCAGGCACGGTGGCTCCTGCCTCTAATCCCAACACTTTGGGAGGCCAAGGCGAGCGGATCTCGATGTCAGGAGTTCAAGACCAGCCCGGCCAACATGGTGAAACCCCCGTCTCTACTGAAAATACAAAAATTAGCCAGGCATGGTGGTGCACACCTGTAATCCCAGCTACTCAGGAGACTGAGGCAGGGAGGCAGAGGTTACAGTGAGTGACATCTTGACACTGCACCCCAGCCTGGGTGACAGAGTGAGACTCTGTCTCAGAACAACAACAAAAAAGCCGGGCGTGATGGCTTACACCTGTGGTCCCATCTACTCGAGAGGCTGAGGATCGCTTGGGTCCAGGGAGCTGAGGTTACAGTGAACTGTGGCTGAGGCACTGCACTCCAGCTGCCCTGTCTCAAAAATAAGAACTTAGACTGGAACCACTCTCCCTAGGTTCAAATCCCAGCCCTACCATTTACTGACTTTACTAGCTTTGTGACCTTGGGCAATTTATTTCACCTTTCTCTGTCCCAGTTTCCCATCTATAAGTTAGGGATCACAATAATTTGTAGCCTCTGGTGTTCTTGTGAGGATTAAGTGAGTTAATTTATGTAAAGTGTTAAAAGCAGCGCCCGGTGTACCCTAAGTGCTCAGTATATCTTGGTTATTCATCTTATATATATATATATTTTTTTTGAGACGGAGTTTCGCTCTTGTTACCCAGGCTGGAGTGCAATGGCACGATCTCAGCTCACCGCAACCTCTGCCTCCTGGGTTCAGGCAATTCTCCTCCCTCAGCCTCCTGAGTAGCTGGGATTGGCACGCGCCACCATGCCCTGCTAATTTTTTGTATTTTTAGTAGAGACGGGGTTTCACCATGTTGGCCAGGATGGTCTCGATCTGTTGACCTCGTGATCCACCCGCCTCAGCCTCCCAAAGTGCTGGGATTACAGGCGTGAGCCACCGCGCCCGGCCTTGTCTTATCTTTATTATAAACTATTATTGCTAGACTTGCTTTGACTCTTTGAGTCCCTGATTCGGATAGTCGAAGATTTAAAAAGATTGTTGTCGGGCACAGTGGCTTATGCCTGTAATCCCAGGACTGTGGGTGACCAGCCTGGCCAGCATGGTGAAACCTCATCTCTACTGAAAATACAAAAACTAGTCAGTGGTGTGTACCTGTAATCCCAGCTACTCGGGAGGCTGAGGCAGGAGAATCACTTGAACCTGGGAGGCAGAGGTTGCAGTGAGCTGAGATCCCACCGCTGCCCTCCACTGTGGGCAAGAGGGTGAGACTCCCGTCTCAAAAAAAAAAAAAAAAAAAAAAAAGATTTAAAAAGATTTAGAAAACTTAGGTCTCAATCGACAAGAGGAGCCTGGGTGCTGAGATATACAGATGGGATGATTCTAAGATTTCAATATTTTATATATTTTTAGGTTTTAAGATTCCACTCATTTCAAATTCTGTGATTCCATAATTTGAAGCATTTCCGGATTTTTTCTTTTTTTTCTTTTTTGAGATGGACTTACTCTGTTGCTCAGGCTGGAGTACAATGGCTCAATCTTGGCTCACTGCAATCTCTGCCTCCTGGGTTCAAATGATCACCTCAGCCCTCTGAGTAGCTGGGAATACAGGCATGCGCCGGCATGCGCCACCGTGCCCAGCTGGTTTTTGTATTTTTGGTAGAGACGGGGTTTTGCCATGTTGCCTAGGCTGGTCTCAAACTCCAGACCTTAAGTGATCTGCCCACCTCAGCCTCCCAAAGTGGTGGGATTACAGGTGTGAGCCACAGTGCACGCCCTCAGATTTTTTTTTTTTTTTTTGAGACAGGGTCTTGCTCTGTTGCCTAGGCTGGAGCACAGTGGTGGGATCATATCTCAGTGCAGCCTGGATCTTCCAAGGCCAAGCGATCCTCCACCTCAGCCTCCCGAGTGGCTTGGACTACAGGCGTGCGTGCCACCACGCCCGCTAATTTTTAAATTTTGTAGCTATGAGGGTCTTGCCATGTTGCCCAGGCTGGTCTTGAACTCCTGGGTTCAAGTGATCCTCCAGCCTCGGCCTTCCAAAGTGCTGGGATTACAGGCATGAGCCACCGCACCCAAGCATTTCCAGATTTTAATATTTTATGTTCTAAGATTCCACTTCCGAGATGCTAGGATTGGGAGCTAACACAGTGCGATGGGAAATCCTACATCAGGATTTCCAAGATGTTATCAATTCTGAGTCCAAGCTTCTGTTTGTCAAACTTCCTGAGATCCCAAGGATCTATAACAGTGCTGTTCAAAGATTTAAGCCCCTAAAAGCCCTTGATCACAGGATTCAAGGTTTTGCAGGTCCTGTGACGTTAGTCTACAGGTTTAAGCTTCTGCGTTTGGAGGAGGTAGATGCCACCCACCTTCCAACCCTCAGGCCTGCCTCCCCCGGGCGGTGGGCCGAAGTCTGGGAGAGGGGTGGGAATGGGTCCCCCGGAGCTGACACCTTGGCCTCTTGCTGTGGCACCTTACTCTAGGCACAATGACAACAAGAGCTTCCTGGTGTGGGTGAACGAGGAGGATCACCTCCGGGTCATCTCCATGGAGAAGGGGGGCAACATGAAGGAGGTCTTCCGCCGCTTCTGCGTGGGGCTGCAGAAGGTGGGTGTCCACTCTTTACTGCCGACTTCTGACTCCACCTGGAACGCCCCACCGGCTTTCCGAGGCCCCGCCCCTTGTCTATACTAAGCCCTGCCCCACCCACTTTCTAGGGCCCTGCCCCCCGGATCTGGCTCCACCCCTATACCAAGTCCCGCCCCTCAAAACAAGCCCCACCTACTTTCCAGGGCCTCGCCCCTCGACCCAGCACCACCCTACGCCCAAGCCCCGCCCTTAAGGACCCGCCTTCAGGCCGGGAGCGGAAGCTCAGGCCTGTAATCCCAGCACTTTGGTAGACTGAGGAGGGCAGATCACTTGATGTCAGGAGTTCAAGACCAGCCTGGCCAGCATCGTAAAACCCTGTCTCTACTAAAAAAAAAAAAAAAAAAAAAAAAAATTAGCCAGGCGTGGTGGCGCCGCGCCTGCAGTCCCAGCTACTCGGGAGGCTGAGGCAGGATAATCACCTGAACCTGGGAAGCGGAGGTTGCAGTGAGACGAGATCACGCCATTGCACTCCAGCCTGGGTGACACAGTAAGACTGTCAAAAAAAAAAAAAGAAAAGAAAAATCGTTCTTAGTCCCTGCCTCCTCAAAATCTTGCCTTGGTCACCCTTGTCTAGCCAGTACCCTCGGAATCTCCTACCTCCTGGTTCCCTCCGAATCCCATCTTCACCCACGTTCCCACGCCTTTCTGGACCCTGCCCATGTGGCGGGTGCATTTGGAGGTGCCTGCTGGTGCTGATCCCTGGTCCTCTCCCCCAATCTCAGATCGAGGAAATCTTTAAGAAAGCCGGCCACCCCTTCATGTGGAACCAGCACCTGGGCTACGTGCTCACCTGCCCATCCAACCTGGGCACTGGGCTGCGTGGAGGCGTGCATGTGAAGCTGGCGCACCTGAGCAAGCACCCCAAGTTCGAGGAGATCCTCACCCGCCTGCGCCTGCAGAAGAGGGGCACAGGTGCGATTCCCACATCCCCTGCACCACGACGGGTGGGGCGGGCCCTTTCGGGAGTGGAAAGGGAGGCTGGACAGCCCCATGAGTTCTGGGTATCCGGCAAAGGCTGACCGTCTGTGAGCCTGCATTTCTTCCTCGTAAAATGGGCGCCAACACGCCCACGTCATAGGAGTCAATGAGGGATTTTCACGGTTATATAATATGCATTGCGTATGCCCTTGCACCTCTCTCGAGTTTCCCCATTTATAAAGTGAGGAGGGGTCAGGATTCGATCCCACGCCGCCTGCCTCCGGAACCCACTCTCTTACCCACTATACTATATTTTCATGTTGGATAATCGAGTGGTGTGGTACCCTATCTAAATCCAGAGACTTGTAAGCCCACGACTAGACAGGCATTACCTGTGTGCAGGTAACCTGTTACACAGTAGCCACTCAACACATGCAGCTGTTGCATTTGGCAAGGGGACCACCACATCCTAGCCACTCTGCAACCTTCGCTGTCTCCTCATGCCCCTGTCCCTTGCTCCTACAGGTGGCGTGGACACAGCTGCCGTGGGCTCAGTATTCGACGTGTCCAACGCTGATCGGCTGGGCTCATCCGAAGTAGAACAGGTGCAGCTGGTGGTGGATGGTGTGAAGCTCATGGTGGAGATGGAGAAGAAGCTGGAGAAAGGCCAGTCCATCGATGACATGATCCCCGCCCAGAAGTAGGCGCCCTGCCCAGCCACCACCGACTGCTGGAACCCAGCCAATGGGAGGGCCTGGCCCACCGGAGGCCCGCCCCCTCACTCCTTGCCCCGCCCCCTTTCCCGGAATCCCACCCTGTGATGGTTCTGTCTTCTGGGGGCTCTCTCCACCCTTCTCAGACTTCCAGTTTCAACCAGAGTTCCAACCAATGGCCTCCATCCTCTGGGTTCTGGCCAGTGAAAAATCTCCCTGGCAGGGTCCTCTTCTTTTCCTAGAGCTCCGCCCCCAACAGGAGCTCTAATTAATGGAGCGCTCCCAGCACATCCGGAGCTCGTACTTGTCTCCACGCAAAGCAATAAATAAAAACAATGGTGGCCTTAGCTTTGTGCGATAGTTATTGAGGGAGGAGGTGTAATTGGCCACTGTGCGGCCTCGGAGAGGTTTGTCTTGTCTAGGCATGTACTAAACATGTCTTATCTCAGGTCTAAAATGAGGCAAAGTTAGGTCACAGAATCTAGTCCAAAAATTAGAAGGCTTGGCCGGGCGTGGTGGCTCACGCCTGTAATCCCAGCACTTTGGGAGGCCGAGGCGGGCAGATCACCTTAGGTCAGGAGTTCCAGACCAAGCTGACCAACTTGGAGAAACGCTGTCTCTACTAAAAATACAAAAATTAGCCAGACATGGTGGCAGACGCCTGTAATCCCAGCTATTTGGGAGGCTGGGGCAGGAGAATCGCTTGAACCCGGGAGGCGGAGGTTGCGGTGAGCTGAGATCATGCCATTGCACTCGAGCCTGGGCAACAAGAGCAAAACTCTGTCTCAAAAAAAAAAAAAAAGAAGAAAAGATTTAAAAAAATAAATTAGAAGGCTCTACGGGGAATCTGAGACCTCAAGAGGCACTAAGCCCAATGTCACTCTCCCAAAGCATGGGCCCTTTCCAACTCTAGCTTTGAATTAGCCATGCTCAGATCTCAATCCCAAGGTCCACGCTGGGGAGGAATGCAGCCCAAGGGAATGTCTGGGGCTTGACCCCCTGCCCAGTCAGTCAGTGCCTGAGGACACAGGGGGTCTCCAGTTTGAGACCTCCCATGCAGCTCATCACATACACCTCTATCCTGATTCTCACTGGCCTCCTTCTGTCCAGTCTGACTTCATCCCTCTGTAGCTGCTGCCGGTCTTTTTAACATCCCTTATTTATTTATTTATTTAGAGATGGAGTCTCGCTCTGTCACCCAGGCTGGAGTGCAGTGGTGCAGTCTTCAGTCACTGCAACCTCTGCTCCTGGGTTCAAGCGATTCTTCCACCTCAGGCTCCCGAGTAACTGGGACTACAGGCGTGTGCCACCATGCCCAGCTAATTATTGTATTTTTAGTAGAGACGGGGTTTCATCAGATTGGCCAGGGTTGTCTTAAGCTCGTGATCCACCTGCCTGTGCCTCCCGAAGTGCTGGGATTACAGGGTTTAGCCACTTCGCCAAGCCGAACATCCCTTACTTTGCTCAAGAACCTGCCATGGCTCCCCATTTCTCCTAGAGCGCCTTTCTGTTATCTGCAACTCAAAGTCACACTGAAATGCGGACCATTTGCATCTTTCCAGTTCTTTCCCCATGATTCCTCTGACTCACATCTTACACCCTCCAATTCCCACCTCAGTGTCTTTGGCCTAGCTGTTTCCCGCTCCAATCTGGAACTTGAGTCTGAGCATCCCCATGAAGTAGCAATAGGCCTTTTGGAGTACTCAGTACCAGGAAGGGACAGGAAGGAGGTGCGATAGAGCGATTGGGGGAGGGAGAAGAGGTAATAGAAGGTAAGCAGTATCTGATCATGCATTGGGTGCTGGGCACATCAATCATCTCCACCCAGCCAAACAGATTAAGATCTCCATTAACAAAGGTTTTGCCCGGAGCGGGGGGGGGGGGGGGGGGGGGGGCGGGAAAAGGGAGGCAGGAGTAAATGGAAGACCTGACAGAGTCTTCAGGAATCTAGAAGGGGTGCTTTTTCAAACCTCAAGTCACAAGTTAAGGGCCATTACAGTTGAATATAATCTGCTCTGTTTTACAGCGGGGAAACAGAGGCCTAGGGATGTCCCCAAAAGTTCCCAGGGAGATTACTAAAAGGAAGGTTAGAAGAGACCCCAAAGATCAAGGCATGCAGAACCTGTGAGATACTGGAATGTTCTTTACTGTACTGTCCCCAGTTGAAGATCCCAGCTCCACATCCGGGGGTTACACAGACCACAGACACCCCAGTGGAGACCATCTGAGCCAGCCAAAGGCACAGTCCAGACACCTGTCAGTTACCACGTCCTGCCCACTTTGCCTCCTGACTCTCAGCTCTAACCTTGCTTCCCCCATCTGTCTAGCCCCGACCTCTTTCCCGCTCTTCTGACCTCACGTTTCCTTCCTTCCACCCTGCACGTAGCACAAACCACCCCAAACCTCTCTCCTGGCCATGGCTCCCCCAATGCCCTTGGAAGAAAGCCCAGGCCCCTGTTCATAACCTTCAAGGCCCTGCTGACGCCCCTAGCCCTATCTCTCACAGCGACTCCACACTTAGCTAGTCACATGCCATTTGATGAAGCACTTGTCCTTTCTCTTGCTCCCCGGCCCTTATATGTGCCAGTTGCTCTGCCTAGAATGCATTCCTACCCATATCTAGCTGCCTCCTTCTACTCCAGGAAGCCCTCCCTGGCTGAGACAGGCATTGCCTCTGGACTCCCCTATGCCAGCCCTGCCCAGTCAGTGCCTGAGGACACATCTGCCTCCTCTATTGGACTGTGAGCTCTATGACGGAGTGTTGGGGCTGTCTTGATTACCACTGTGTCTCCAGCACAGAGGATCCCATCAGGAATTGACTAAGCCTCCTTCCTGAAGCTCCCTGAACTTCCATGGCTCCCCAGTGCCTTGGGAGAAAGTCCAGCTTATTCATTTTGGCCCCAAAGGTGCTGTGTGAATAAGCCCCACCCTCCTGTACTGCACAGCTCTGAACCACTTAAATCTGTCCAGCTCCCAGGCCTTTTCTCCTTCTCAAGACATCTGACCTTCCTTTGAGAAATCCCCACTAAGTGCAGCTCTGAGTCTGGTCACTCTAGAGTCACAGTGATTGGTTCAGAGATAAGCACATGGCCCAACTGGGCCAATGAGAGTCTGCCCTGGGACTTTTGCTGGGAAACCAACAATGAAGCTCTTTCTGCTGCAGAAAGCTGGAGGGATAGAAACTTCTAACTGCTGAGGTCATTTGAGCCATCAGGAAAGAACTTACTT